CTCCAAGCCCAAAGGGAGGTCTCCCCTTATCTATTCAACATGGTTAAAAAAAAGCCCCCACTCCCCACCCTGTCTTAGATTTGAGTACAAGGGAAGGGAGGGGGCAGGAGCATCTGCAGCTCCAACTCCAAACCTCACTCTGAGCCTTTCCTCTCCCCCAGTACCACCCCTGCTTACAGCTCTGGCCGGGACATGGCTCTAGCAAGTGGCAAGGAGGATGGAATACATTATGCCTCAGACTGATGCCATGAAGCAGCAGCAGCAGCTCAAGGCAAGGCTACCACCACTACAACAGCTGCTGCAGGGGAGCAGGGGGAAGCAGGAAGGAGCAGGGGCAAGTGGTGGGGGAGGTGACAGGCCACCAGATACCAGGGGGGTACAAGCACTGTGGGGTGGGCAGACAGAGTACAGGCATGGGTGTCATGGGCGGCATGGGCAGGAGAAGGTAAGTGACATGGGGAACAAGCAGGAGCCAGGCAGCAGGGGACACAGGCACTGCAGGGAACCCACCAGCACTAGGGGGCAGGGAAGAGCCAGTGGCAAGGTGCAGAGATCACGCCACTCTATTCCCCACCACTTCCTCCCCACTATCCATTCCCCTGCCACTCCTTGCCCTGCTGCAGCAGTGGGGGGTGGGGACAAATTTAAAAAGTCAACCCTCCAAAAATTAATGTCTAGGCATGAACAATTAAGAAAAATGTCTAGATTCCAATTATTGAGGAGGCGGTCATCTTAAAATTTAAAGTGGCCCTAGATTCCAGCAAATATGATGTATGTTATATAAACTTACTGAATGTCAAACTGAGTGCATCAAGTATTTTACAGACAAAGAGAGATAAATAATAGGCAAGGGGCCCCTCAGCAGGTCCAAAAAAAATCTTAGACGCCACAAGTCAAGTATACTTACTCCATTAAATCCTTTTAGGATCATAAAAAGTCAGTGGTATTTCTCATGAAACCCACCCCATCACTTATTGAACCAAGGCAAAGCGTACATAGCAAAGTGAAGCTCCTTCACCTTCCCAATTTAAGCAAAGCAATTTAGTAGTCACAACAAATATTCAAGTACAAAGAAAATCACTTACAGAAATAAATACCAGATCAGCTTCTCTAATGGCATCATCAATACCAGTGGAAAAGAAGAGATTCCGTCCTCGACAAGACTCTACTACTTCTTTTAGCCCTGGCTGGAGAAACAAAGCATTAGAGAAGGCTGGACAGGCATCTGGCTGGGGTCATCTGAACTCAGCACTCTTTTTTGCTTAGGCAGGGGGTAGGACTTGATGATGCGTTGAGGTCCCTTCTGACCCTAGCATATATGAGTCTATGAAGTCAAAATAGCAGCAAAAGCTGTACCAAAAACTGGCAAATTGCCCTCAGGTAAAACAAGGCTTTTCTTAGGAGGGAAAGGGAAAGACGTGTGAGGCAACGGCTTGGCTTTTGATTGAGCTGGCAATATCTGTTGGATCAAAATTTAAAAAAAAACTTGTATGAATTCACAAGTTTATTTCCTGACAAAAAAAAATATAGTCCTCTCCCATGCAAGAAACACTTATAAAGCAGAGATAAGTGGAAGTCATCCTTTCAACCCTTTCCATCTCCCAATGGGACCACATCTGCCATCCAAAGCCTGGGCCCTGGACATACAAAATACACGCCCCCACCCTAATGCCATTGTTAGAAGTGATTAAACAAAACACAATCCCTTTGTAGTAGTAAAGTACACATTTGGAGGAACTGGATCAAACTTAGATGGAACATGTTCTTCATAAACATACTATGTTGGAACACCTCACTCAACCCCCTCTCTCAATATAGGCAATCCTTGACTTACAACATTTCTAAATTGACACCGTTTCAACTTTTTGACATCAGTTTTGACGTCACAATGCTTGATCTGATGTGATACCATGACAGCAAACAAGTCGCTGTGTCACCCATCTCCCTGGAGAACATCTGTCCAAACTTCCTTGGACGCTTTCTTTAAGAAAGCGGACAAGACTCCAGAAAAACCTGCAGCCAAGACTCCCGAGAAGAATCCAACCAAGAACCCTTCAAAAAGTCCAACAAAGTCACCTCAAAGAAGTCCTTCCAAATCAATATGATTGTCATTTACAATATAAATACATTAAATGTAGCTATATTACTCATCTATAATTGATCAAGTACAAAATTCTGGGTTATTTTTGGTGAAAACAGGGTATCAGGCCTTGGAACCAATCCCCCATTTATAACACTGTTTGTTTCCTATGGGAAAAATCTGTTCTGAGTTGCAACATTTCAACTTAAGACGTGGTTTTCAGGAACCAATTGTGTTATAAGTCCAAGGACTGCCTGTATAAGACTACCCAGAACACCTCTTCTAGACAAACTTGAGATTAGAATGCCCTACAAAAAAAGTAAAAAGCAACTGTCATCACCAAATGTAAGCCACTACTCTGAAAATCTCCACCTTGTAAAAAAAACCCCACTATGTATTTTCAGATTACAATAAACTACTTCACTATCAAAAGAATGACACAAGATATTTTGAGTAACTGCCAACTAAAGGTTCAGTTTGGCAGCACTATACCTAGGCAAGACTTTTTTGCCGTCTCGCTCTTTACTAGATCTCTAACCTAAGCAAAATTAAAAAACAACAAACAACTCAGGTAGGAAATCACTATTACAAAACCAGAGTTTCAGACAAACATCACCACTAGATTATGAACATTCCAGCTGTGATTTTTCTAGGGTTCAGATACAAAGATCTGTGCTATAAAAGCCAAAGAATCAGCTTGCATCTTCCAATCTAGAAAAGGGGCAAAGAAGCAGAAAGTGCTGAGGGTGAAAAACTGCAATGGTCTCAAGGCAGGCAAGGTTCTTTGGGTATATGTGGTATTTTCTGTTAGACCAACTAAATAGTTGGGGGGAAAAAAAAAAAGGGTTATTTGCAAGCTTTCAGGCACAAACTCTCTTCATCAGGCATAGGGAGATTCTGCTGGTGTGTTCTTAGCCTAATAAAAGATATCACATTTATACAAAAAACCTTGCCTCCTTATGTCCTTAGACCAACCTGGCTACAACCAACAGTTCTGCAACTGTCTGAACACATTCCTGGCAGTTTTGAAACATTCTTTGTGAGCAGTGGTCATCATGCTGAGAACCACAAGTGGTGCTTGTATACACAAGACAAGCCGTTTTAGCTTGTTCAAATGGGGTAAGTATCAATATAAAATAAAATATTTGTTCATCCATGTTAAAATCTGCACTCAACTTTTGTTTGCTAATCTGAACGTTATAAGCTTTACCCTTCATTAAACTTTAACCAAGTTTTGAAAACTAAGAGGAAATTCTGTGGTCTTGATTTCTAAACAAAGGTAAACAAACTAACTTTGTCCTGTCCTTGGCATAGGCAAACAACATAGAAAACAAGCTTCTATTTTATTGGCTCAGACATTTGTTAAAAAGAAATGTGAAAGGTTAAGAAGTCCTAAGGACATATTAGTATAAATACATAATACTATCAGGTAGCATGAGACAGCATGACTTATTTTTGAGAGTTAAGTAAGAACTGACATTTATTTCATTATCAACACAGAAAAGATAAGCAATTCGATCTGGAATAAGTTTTTTTATAATAGTTTTGTTATATGTAAATTAAAGCATGAAAAACAGAGCTACTTTTAAATTACCAAAATAGTGAAAAGTATCCAGCAACAAGATTAATAATAATAATAATAAATCAGTATTTTTATGCTTTTTTTTTTTAATTTTGGGAAATAAGAGTTCTCCCACAGCATAAATAACAGTGTCAGATCTGTTCACGCAGATGTGTTTACCAAAAGACAGCAGCCTTCACACATCACAATCAGGAAGTTAAAATCTCTTAGCATATCTGAGTGCCTCGATCAGATCAAATAGAATCCTTCTTCACAGGGAAGGGATGTAATTCTAACAAAAAGACTTCCAGAAACACTAGATCCTCACAAGCTACTAACACAGGATTAATAGGGAGTAAGGCAGCAGTATCTGAATTCAATAACAGAACTTCTTCTAAATTCAGTACTACCCACTGTGACTAAGTGACAGAATTGGCTCTGTGATGTCTTTTCAAACTTTCCAACCATTTAGAATAGCTTAGAAAAGGGAAATACTTAGCCACTACATCCATATTATAACAGAATCAAGGATACAGTTGCAACATGTTTCAGACTTAGAACATTTTTAAAAACTTTATGGTGCGAACAGAGCCAAAAGCACAGTAGTTTGAGGACACAGGGAGACTCCATACTATTTGTAAGGTACAAGTTCTATTTGCATGGTAACACATGGCTAACCTGGTCACAATCAGGTCCCCTGGCCAGTCAAAACTGTAGAGACCCAAAAGAGCCATGACTTACAATTTACTCGACTAAGCTGCACAAGACTATCTTTACAAAAATCTTCCTGCACCTGACAGCACCAAGTGGCCAGTGGTCATCTGAAAGCCTGGTTTATGGCATACTATTAGCACGCAGTCAGTGCAAGAACAAGGTTTCTGAAGGAAGCACATAGTCCTGCCATGGTCCTAGAACACTCATTAAGAGTCAAACATGGGCTCAGGGCCACCACCCATGTGAAAGGAAGCAAATTCAATATAATATGAAGGAAAAAAAAAATGTTGCATTAAACACAAATTTACCTCATAAATTGGAAGCCTATCAGAGTTCCAGGCATTGATTCTAGCTTCATTGACATCCACAACCGTAACCTTTATTTTAGGGCACATCTGTGCAATGACACTACATGTCGGCCCACCAACATAACCGGCACCAATACAGCAGATTTTCTTGATTGCAACCATGGTTGCTCTGGAGAGGAGAGGAGAGGAAGGTAAAAAGAGAGACGCATGATAATTAACAGTCACTCAAATAGTAAAAATAAGCAGAATGAGCCAAGAGTGTGCCCTTGTTGCAAAAGGGGCTAAAGGCATACTGGGCTGCATTAGTAGGAACACTGCCACCAGATGGAGGAAAGCTATTATTCTCTATTCTGCACTGGGGAGGAGTACTGTAAGGACACATCTGAAGTACTGGGTGCGTCTACAAGTGATGATACACATCACCGTAGCAACAGGCTATGTGACGTAGCATCTGGGGGCAAAACCCACAATGGCACAGCTATGTCACCATAGTGATGCACTCCTGTTACAATGCATCGCTATGGCAACATAGTGCCTAAAAATAACTGTGCATGGTGTAGTAGACTGTTACTGCACCATCTTTTAGTACTTCCAACTGGACACAGTCTACACATGCCGCTATGGCACTGTTGTTACTGTGCTGTCTAAAAGATGGTGCAGTAACAACAGCATCATAGAGGCATGTATAGATGCACCCGCTGCATCCAATTTTAAGCTCCCACTACAGAAAGGAAGTAGACAAATTGGAGAGTCCAGCGGAGGGCAACAAGACTGGTTAGGGGTCTGGGACATGTAACTTATGAGGAGAGGCTGAGGAACTGGGCTTAGTCTTCTCTTATCCAGCCTAAATGAGGGGGGATTTAATAGACATCTTCAACTACCTGAAGGATGATGCCAAACAGGATGGAGCTAAACTGCCCTTAGGGGTGGCAGATGACAGAAAAAGGAGCAATGGTCTCAAATTGCAATAAGGGAAGTTTAGGTTAGATATGAGGGAGAATTTTCGCATGAGGGGGGTAGTAAAGCACTGGAACAGGTTACCCAGAAAGGTGGTGGAACCTCCATGCTTGGAGATTTTCAAGACCTGGCTAGACAAAGCCTTGGCTGGGATGATATAGTTGGGGGATGGTCTTGCTTTAAGCAAGGGGTTGGACTAGATGACTTCCTGAGGGCTCTTCCAACCCTGATTTTCTACGATTTCTATGAAAAGCAAACAAATAAATGAACCCA